GTTTTGGACCATTCTAAAAATAGGTCTTTGCATTCACGTATTGGCGGAGAAGCCAGTTTAAGATATTGCTTGTCAAAGTTTGATATTTGTAAAATGTTTTAATTCTCTTAGTCACTTTCAACAGAATTGGAGAATGAACATTTGAATGAGTGAGAAATAAGCTGCCTTTTTCGATTGAAATACACTTATCTTTCAGTTCTCCAGCTTCACAAACGGCGAGGTTGTTCCCGATGCAGCGGACAATTTTAATATGAGATTCTGTAGCACCAGTTTGCCTATATCTGCCAAAAGACTTTTCTGACCATTCACTGTTAATGAAGTATATAAAATGTATCATATATTCTCTGCAACACATATACTGGCAATTATGCCATATAAACCCTTCCTAAGAATAACAAGGGGTGATTTTCTCCGACTTACTTTCCTATATGTCTTGGTGTGAAATAATATTTTTATGTACAGTGACACGATCAAAGAAGGCTATAGTCTCGTTCTGGAACAGGGTTGTCAAGTATTGTTTCTAACACCAACTTTTCCAAAATATTTGCTTCTCTTATTTTTGGACATCCAAGAACTGTTACTTAATCGCTCACATGAAATGCATGCTTTGTTGTCAGCAAGCCATTCAATGAAGAGTCACAATTTTCCTGTACCCTAGTTAAATTGTTGTATACATACTTTGACATAAATCCAGGCATGTACCTCCAAATACTGAAATTATTCGCAACCTGCAGAGGTACACCTTGTGTTCCATGAAACATTTTAAGTAATGTGCCATTGTTAGATTCATATATAAGCGTAGAGTTTACCCACAATGGGTCCAGTTGCGCACAGTTGTCATATGTTTCTTTTCATACAAAACCTCAACAAAAAGAACAAACTTATTCAGCATTATGTCAGCATTGACCAAGTCTGTTTCTGATATGGACTCTGACAAAGGCAGTGAAAGACTATGCACCGGTAAGACACAACATCGAAGGTAGTTGTCTGGAAGTATGCCAATTAAACATGGAAGGGGCAAAACAGTAACCAGGAACTCCATTCAGATCCCTTCCAGTAACGTCTGTGTGATAGGGACCGAGGTGTGCGCGTCAAATTATTTGGAGGTTGAATGCTTGTCAGCCGCTCATCAAACCTCCCACTTACATTTACAATGTAATACTGCTCATCGTGACTTTTAGCCATAAATGTCCAAAATATCTAGCAACTCCTAACAGAAAATTGTGGAGGTAATCAACAGTAAAACCCTGAATAATATTGTAGCGGACTGTTTGCTTTCCGTAGTTTCCAAGTCAACTGCGCTCTTCTCGCCTGTTTTTTAATTTGGGCGGCGCGTGATCCGGAAATAGGTAGCTTTAAAAAGATGGCTTCTTTTGTTGGGTGCGCTGGAAGGGCTCGGCTGGATTCCAGGGCTAGGTTAATTTGCTACAATTTTATACTTTTGCAGACAAAAAAACCCCAAAAAACAAAAAGCAAAAGGGGTGTGGGGCGGCTGGTGCTATAGATATATCTTGTTTTTCAAATATTTGTTCACTTCATTGGATATAACAAAATGTAAACAAAATCTCTATACCCTCTGTAGTTACAATAAGACATAAAAATACGAATGTTATAAATAGCAATAATACTTACCTCATCAACTGACTCACCCCTACTACTATCTGCACTGAAGCTTGCAGCATCTCCATCTTGGCAAAAAGCTTTTTCATCACCTGACAAGGCAAACGATTCACGGCCTGCATCTGCAGGCGCTTTTACTGACTTGTCCGCCATTTCTTCGTGTTGTTCAGTGGTGGAGACAATAAATGTAAAGCTAATTGCTTTAGAGCATTCAGCACTGCGAGCTGAAAGTTCATTAACTGTCTACAGACGTCATAGTCCAGTTACATGGGTGTGAATGTATCCCACACTATCCACGTTAGTGGGTCAAAACGATATATGCAAGCGTATCTATCAAAATAGGCATCACAAAATAAGGAAACACACACAAACTCTGATAACGGGTTGCTCAAGGGGATATATTCATTGTGTCAGTGGCGTGATTTTTTCCCCGGAAATATGGGATAGGGAACGGTGGGGATGACAGTACCGGCCATTTAAAGCTGAAAAGTGGGGGAGGGGATAACTGACACCATATGACATTATCTAGGGGGCAGCAATCATGATACAGAGGTGCATCTTTAAAAAGCGTTACATCCATGCAGGATCTTAAATAAGAATGGCATATTTATGGCTTTTTGTATTGTTTACCCCTTTAGAGTGATATTTGTAGTCGTTGGGAACTTCTCCGGAATTGTTTATAATCACTTTCATTTTTGGGCTCGTCACAAAAACGTGGGGGATGATTCAATAGCACATTCTCCCACTTCGGAAAGCGAGTGGGGGATATATTTCCCCCCCCCCATCTCACGAGATTTACGGCCATTTTTGTGGCCTACCTCCGCGGTAGTCATCTCTTAAGCGCGTAGATTGGAAACTGGTAAGAGCATGAATGTCTTTAATTTAACGGAAGGCCACTCCCACGCGGACTGTGAAGTACTGGTCGCGGGTTTTATTATTTATGACGAACTTCTGCCCAAAACAGGGTGTGTGCCGATGTGTCTGTACTGTGTAAATATTCCATCTTTGTAAGCTGATTTATATTCACAAATACCTCAGACAGTTTCCCCATTCAACAACGTGCAACTTGACCACGAATTTAAATGTGATAATGCCTGCAATATAAGACGTTATAATGCCGCTGCGTAGATTACGCGTTGGCCCTTGGATACAAGACAGTTTAATCGATTCTGATTTTTCAAGAGTCTGTGTACATGCAGATCGCCACGTGTGCGCTAAGTCCATATAAGAGGATTCCTTTTGGACAACTTGCACAAGGAATAAACATAACACGAACGGGGTTTTCGGAAAATGACTTAAAATTCTAGATTATCGTTGGGAATCCATCATATATTGACTTCTGTTGACTCTCTGACTAAGCAGGGTATCCATGAATGGGAATAAATGTGTATGGCCGATTCTAAACGGACGTTTATTAAATATTGATTTCTTAATTAAACTTACGGCCAAGCACGTATTTCCTCCCCTATTTAAAGAACGTCTCAAGCGTTCATGAAAGCTTGCTTATACGAGTTCAGTAGGGAACGTCCGATTGTAAGAGCCACATATTTGCCAATGGGTTTTAGAAATGATTTGTATTTTAAATTACTGATGATTGCACGATGCTATAAATACTGATGAAAAGAGACTTGAAACAGATTATTAATGGACATGTAATGGGAGTGCACAGACACTGGCTGGGGTTTATGAAATTTCAGTCTATAATCTCAGTCATCAACGAGTATGGAACTACCTAGTTGTTCTATACAGCGAACCTCTATTTTCTGTTCCCTAAACATCCAACTGTCCTTTATAGCAGGCCAGATTAGGAAACGTTTTCTTTGGCTTCCATCAGAAAACGTGTTGAACCGATTTGCAAGCTTTACAGAGGAAATTTCCATGACTTGTTTTCTAAACAGTCAATGAAACGGTGTGAGTAATCCGTCATCCATACTTAACGACTTTGAAGTATCACACATACTGTTGAGTGTTGGTTCGGCTCTGCTCAGATCAGCTTGGATCGGTTCAGTTCGTTCCATGTTGTCAGCAGTGGCGATGCTATGACTAAGACTATGATGGAACGATACGGAAAAAAACTCTGAAGAAAGTTCAAAAGCCGATCAGTACATCCCAATATTCTCGTGCTGGAGCATGCAACATCAGTTACCTTAGCTGGGCGTTCAATCTAATTTGGCAATTTAAATATCCGTATTGCGTATCCGGAAAGTAGGTGATAGGCACACGTTAAACACCTGCAGAACCAATGGGAAATTGGATGCAGGATGCTAATGGGTAGCGGCAATACATTTGGGGGGTTGATACATTTCTTTCTGCAACTTTATACTATTTTTATCCATACTCTTCATTCATTTAAGGGAAGTGAAATAAAAAAAATTGTTATCCCTTGTAATGTAAGCTTACAAAATGAAGAAACTTTACAATGGTAACATCTGAAAACCCAATAGTGTTTATGCACAAACTAATGCAACATTGAGATTTTCTTTCCAGGATAGCATCATACTTGTGCTAATGATTATAGGAATACTTAATAGCTTAAAACCCAACATAAGCAGCAAAATACCAGTTCAGACAGTGCAACAAAAATGAGGCTAACTGAGAAGCAAAGGCGCATTTGGAGGTTTGTAATAAGATATTGCATTGCAGAGAATGTTTAAGAACGTGCATTCAAGACTTCGTGTTTGTGAAACCGCACATATTAATGCCGTGTTGTTGGATAGACCAGTAGGGTTGCTACACGGTCCTGGTGATAGATGAAACAGCAGGTTCGTGTTACCCTGCTCAAACCGCAAACCTGTTCTAATTAAGCTTCAGCATACTTTGGTTATGTTTCCTCTATGATTTTCGCTCATGGTTAATAAAAATCAATGAATAACAATTTTCTTACACCACCTTAGGTAACGATTGGTTCATACTTCCAATAGAATTATCCATATTCAACTTGCCTACAAGTGCACTGCATTAGCTACGCCCTCTGGTTTATATAAAATATGGAAACTGAAAAAAAAACACCTTTAAGTATGAAATGTCCATATTTGGTTATTCCTTTCGGATGCTCTGTCTTGGAATGTTTTACTTTTTTTCAAGTGAAACGACATATGGCAAATGAATCGAACCAATCAATGTTGCGTGTTTTCAGGTATATCGATTATCTCGGAGGCAGGAACGTTTTGGTGACATACACAAAGCCAGCTAAAAAGAAGTGATTTGACAAACAGCTTTTTATATACACTCTATTATCATTACATATAGAAGGAAGACAGAAAGTATCGATTCCTCTTCAACGATTCCGGTGCAGAGTTTGTTTGGGTTTGCTCCGCAGATCAAACAAAAACATGAAACAAACAGCGACCAGGTGGCTATTTGGCAAATGGTCCCACACGCACTGTACACATACCGTTTGTTTTTTGCGCCTCCAGTGACTAATCGAGAGAGAAAAGACCCTATAAATGTAAAGGATTTATAGTGGTTTTACCTCATTTTCGCAACAGTCAGCCAAAGCACAGCAATAGTCATAATGGAGCCAGCCCGCCTTGCTCTTCTTCTTTTGGTCGTTTGTGTTGGTGAGTATTTCCTGAGGCTGCTGCGTCACAGTAAACTGCTTTGACGCATGCGACTATGGGAACCCTTCAGCTGGGTTGCTCGTTGATAACATTTCTCTAAGCTACAAGGCAGGGTGTCTTCTTATATGCTTTGTGTGACTGCCATTTTGGCAGAGTTGGGGATGAAGGGGAAATATATCCACAGCAAAGTGGCGCACCTGCCCCTGAAAGGTTTTCTTTTTTTTTTTACATTCTTAAAAAATGAAGATACAATCTGCTACTTTACTACAAACTCAGATAGGCTGTTACTCCGCTTAGGCACAGCTGGAGTAGCATCATGATTAATTTGCAATGGTAAATTCCTGCCCAATGCCCCCCTGGAAAAAAATGCCAGTGCACCACTGTACTCAAGCCACCATCATATTGCTGCCCTTTCTCTTCCCAGTTTGTGTAACAGCATTTGATCAGTCGCCTTCGGCACATGATCCTGGTATCAATTATCCTTTAAATATACATTTTGAAGCCGACTCAGACACGGAGTGAATGGTATCTGTTAGTATAAGGATGGATCAATGTCGTCTTTCTCGATTAAACTACCTCGACGAGATACCTCATAAATTTTTCCTCAAATTTGAAGCGTGGAACGCCAAATCTTTTTGTACGTTTTGTTCAAGTACTATCGACCTGGTATTAATTATATAAATTGAATGATTTTCTGAGCCTTTTTTTGCAGTTATTTTTGCTTAGCTAAATTCATAGAAATTCCACGAGCCAGAAAGGATTGATAACAGTCCCACCACAAGCCTTAAGCGGTAACCGCTATTTAAATTACAGTGTGTATAGTTTATCAGGCTTACAGTAGGAACAGGGGAAAGACAGTTAGGTTTAGATAATTTGTTAATTACTCGTTTGTGTTATTTGTTTTAGCTGGATTGGTGGTGAACGGCGCTCCCCAAAATAGTGAGTACGATTTTCGATTTCTCAACACGTCCGTCAAATTGCAGATGACTGACAGGTCATGCCTGTACTTTTTGCATAGTTTTTATTAACAATTATTGTTTGATAGGCATTGAAATGTCGATAATTAATTACTGTGAAATCCGAGATTCAGCACTTAACTGCTCGTGGACCTATACTTAGGAATAGGAATGATTGTTCTTAGATGCTGTTGCGCCGTTTTCAAAACTATATTACTTGAGCTTGCTGTTTTGCCTATTAATACAAGCAATAACTTTCTTTATTTATACATTTATCAGGTCAAGTATGATTTCAGGATAAGTGTTTGAAACTATGGATTACGAGGGAAACCTTAAAATTGCGATGAAAGCTGACCTCAAAAAGTGCTCAATAAGGGAATCAATCCAAGCATACATAGCCCTCTAAGGTCAAAAAGAAGTAAATATAACATCGTTTGAGAGAAACCTCTTCAAAGTTCCTGGCTTTTGGCATACTTAAATTTGAATGTCTGACACTATTTGTTCCTTAACATTTTTGACAAAGCTATTCTTAAAGGATCCAGGAAATTCAATTTTCTTAGAATCACTTTTTATGTATCTCTGTACTCTTCTTCCATATATGAAGACTGTTTTACACCTTTTTTGAGTTACATGAACTGAACGGTGCGCTTTATCAAACATTAAAAAATCTAGAATTTTTTTGTGCACAAACCAGTGCAACATTGAGTTTCAGTGCCTTGGATGACATTATAGTTCTGCTGGTTAATATTCAAATATGCATTAGCATAAAAAGCCAAAAAACATCAAATTATGGGTAATGATTGCAAAACAAAAATTTAATATGAGATTAATTGAAACCCAAAGATGCAATTTCAGGGGGTGTTAGTAAAATTTAAAAAAAAATTCTATTTCCTGGTTTCTATTAAATATGTAAAAAATTATCTCTTCTCGGATGAAACATTTAGTCCATAATGTCATTTTGAAAATAATGCACTGTTTGGCTGTGAATTTATTTTAACAGAAATTATACGTTTCTTAGAAAGCAAGGTATCTTGCTCCTCTTCTGCAACAATTTAATACCTTTCTTTACGGCAAAAGCAAACTATCTCTAATCATTCACGTTAGATATCAGGACTATTAACTAGTGCTCGCACAGGCCAGACCAAGGGCGTCTCTGTTTGCGCATAGTCTCCAAAATGTCACATAATTACATGATTACTGCACGGAGTCTATAATTAATATGAATTTCTCCTGGTACTATATGAAGAGTTTGGAGTCAGATATGGCAAATGAGTCAAAGCTGCCCTTTCTGCTATTAATACAACTTATACAAAAACATTACGCACTAGTCATGTTAAAATATTATTTTGAAGAAACAGGATGTAATTGTGATCACAAGAAATGTTTCTGACAAAACGAAATCCATCAACAAAACGACCTCTCCCTCCCCCAAAAATAAGAGTTCGTGGAAAAATAAATATTCCAACACGTAAAAATATTGCCAAAAGGTGTGTGGAGATTAGTTAATTCATGAGGTATGTGTTGGGTACATTACGTAGGCCCCCACTCATCAATTGTAGTCTTTTCTTGAAAACGCCTGATTTACGGGCATTAAATAAATAAATATTACTGATACCTAATTTAGGATTAGTTAATGTTAAGCAGGACAATTTTAAAATGTACAAAGTTAATCCATGAAAAGTATTTTGCTTTTAAACTAATTTTGGCTGCTGTGTTGCGCTATTCATAACAGGCAAACATCCTCTGTATTAGGTCTTAAGGCCTTAACCCTCAAAGAACCGGCTTTTTTGGGGGGGTGGGGCCTTGTCACAGCCGGGGGTCGGAATCCGCCCTCCCCCACCGATCTCGGTCATACGGTGATGCACTTCAATGAAATTTGGCAGTGTCATAGAGTACGAAGCAGAATTAGAGTCAAAAAGATCGGAACATGTTTCCCGAGAAATGTAATGCAAAAAAATTGATTGTTTTTGGTATTGTACTGTTTTTTTTAAAACAGACCATACTTTGAATGTTTGAATTCATTGTCCAAAACCGAATGAAACCTGTCGTACCTAATATGTCTTTTGGATGAAATTTAACATGTTTTTAAGATTCGGATGAAATTTTTTTGACCCAACATGTGTTTAAGATTCGAATAAATTTTTGTACACCTGACATGTTGTTAAGATACGAAAAAATCTTTTGGACCTATTTTGTTTTTATTTACTTGCGTAGCCTACTGACAGGATGTCAAGTTCACATGCGATGCAAACCTGAAAGTAAAATCTATAAATCACTATACCAGTTATAAGTCACCACGTCTGATCAGTGGTACAGTACTTTGAATGCGTGCTCTCTTCCACTACTGTAATTAATTTGTAGTTTATTCGTGCAAATCTGTTTACAGATCTCACAGGAAAAAAATCATACCTGCACTGAAATTCACTTTTGAAAAACATACCTTTGGAATAGCTGCGTTCGCAGAGTCTGCCACAGCTGCGGTATTAAAATGTTTGACTGTATTCAGACAAGTTAAGAGTGGTACACGGGCTCAAACATCTATTCGGGTATAAGGAACAGTCTGATGTTTAGAGGGAGTTTAGTGTCTTCATGAAGGGTTTTTCCTGAGAATCAACTCTACCTCCAAAATGCTTTAGATAGGAGGGACTTACTTTGCTCAATGGAAATGGCGGTCCTGAGATACTTTCAGTAAATTCCCAATACGGGCGATTCACATTACTGCGCCTCCAAGAGTATGAAACGTGTTGGCCAATCACAATGCGCGTTTGGAAAGAATCCACAGATTTCGCTCACTCTTGGAGGCGCACTATTGTGAATCGCCCGTATTACAGTAAGCCAAAAAGTTCTTATTCGGATCTTAGTCGTAGATTATCTGCACCCCCGTTTCAAATCCTATCACTCCTGAAACTAGATAAGATAATACCAAATAGTTGGACTTGTGAAGTCTGCCGAACAGTCTACAATTTCTTCATAGCCACATTTGCTAAATCACAGACTTCCAGCACTGTAAACAAAAGTTAGTAATTTCGAGTTCAAAATGGCTAATATAGATAGGTCGGGTCTTGCTGACTTACTAAATCAAGCCAGAACTAATATTTAGTCAACAGTGACTGACTTTGGTCAAATTTGGCTAATATTTGACTTATCTTTGACGAATAAATGTTAGTCATTGGTTTGTCTGACTAATGCAAATTAGTCACTGGTCTGTCTGACTACATGTAATTTAAACTGGTCATATTGGGACATAGAGCTGGACTTTTTATTAGTATTATTAGTCACAGTGACTAATTTTTGTTTACAGTGATAGATAACAGTTCAGTGTAACAGTGAGCCTATAATATTCTCCTATCACCCAAGTTATAAAGCAAGGACAGCGGTTGTCTCCCATTTCCGTTCAATTCTTGTATCTTTCATTTTATTCATTGGAACTGCTAGACGAGAGAGGATTGTGGGTGGGGTCAACGGCCGCCATACCTCCTCATCCCCCAAAGAGGATTTTTCAATCAGAGTGAAGTGTCTGAAATATTTGTATGGACAGAGCCATTTTGGTCAGGACATTGCTATTGAGCAGATGCTTAATTTGTGACTGGTGCAATCAACACAAAAGTGTACAGGGGACACTGCTTACTTTAATTCACCCCGTCTGCACCTAAAAAAAAGGGAAAAAAAGAAAGAAAGAATAAAAAAGACTCTGGATCTGGTCTTGATGTCAGATGACAAAACAAGTTCTGAGTTAACTACAGAATAAAGCAAAGGCCACTTATTGTCACTTAACATTGATAAATGTTTTCAATTCACCAGGGTTGTTGGACAACGAAACGCAGAACAAAGCCCTGTCTAAGAGGTCCGACGCAGACAACAACCCGGGATGTAAGAAAATTACTGTCTAAGGAAGTGTCCTAATTACTTGGCTTTGGCTTGAAAGTATGCACGAGTATATGTAAGCGGCCACAGACAGTTCCCGAGGATTCGCGTGTAATTTCCAGCCGTAGCCAAGTAATTCGGACGCGGCCACAGCAATCACGAGCCAACCCCAGCCACTTCTTAACTATTAATGGCAGTACCAGACTTTTTCGTGTACCTGATGTTAAACATTCGGGATCATGCACCTGACAACACGCGTCTACTGTGATGATTGGTTGGGCGTGTCTAAACGTCCGTGAACTTCACGGACTTGGTTTGTGAATTAATGTTGGATTTTTGCCCTGCCCGACGTGTATTTTAACACTGTACATTCAGTGTATGTCACCGAAGGTTTGTGAAAAAAAAAACACAAACATACTCGGGTGTCTAGTAAACAGGAAGTCGTGGGTTCGAGTCCCACCCAAGTACGTTTGTGTTTTATCATAGACCTTCGGGGACATACACTGAGTATACAGTGTAACAATACACGCTGGGCAGGGCAAAACATTAAAAAATTAATTTACATCTCCCCGGCACAAATCCATATTTGAAATGCTTGGTCTGTGAAGTTAACTATACATGACCGGTTCCCTCCCCATTTCATATATATCATACAGTTCATTCCCAGAAAGGGGGGCAGGAATCAGTCTAATATTTTACGGTGTTACCGAAGGATGACGCTCAGTGGAAACGAATCTGTTTTGAAATATGCTGAGCATCAATAAGCGAAAACTGTGTATTCCAATAGAATAGGATTTTTCAGGTATTGTAAACGAATCACATTCCTGCAATGATAAGAACAGAATTTCTGATCTACATACCATCGTATATTTATGGTTTCGGCCTGCAAAAATACGCTATTTGCCAGCATGTGTTCATAAATCAAAAATAAATAATTCTCCGACCGAATTTGAATTTTTAAAACTTAAGATATTCCCAGTCATCCTGCCATTGTCCTTAAAAACGAGGTACTATTTCTATTTAGAAAAATGGCCGAAAAGGGCCGTGGGATGAAAACGACTGTAACGTTCGTTTGCAGATCTCATGCTGTCTGTATTGCCGTGCTGTAAACAAAATGAACTCGTATTCACAAGTTGTAAAGTGAACATTTCAGTAAATCTTTTCACAAAGCAGTTTCTTTGTGTTATTTATTCCACGTTTTCCGTTTTTTTTTGGTCCTCTGTATTACAGACGATGCTTGTAAAATCGGTAACGTCAAGTGTTTAAATGGTGGCACCTGTTACACTATTTATGGCTCCCCTGACTGCAGATGTGCTTATGGTTATTTTGGAAGCCGTTGCCAATTCAGTAAGATTTATGCCTTAGTTCCTTTTTTCTGCTAATACACTGGACAGCAAAAGAATCTTGCCACTTCTATCAAAGGCACAGCATGCAAGTTGCTGTGCATGTCAGTTTCTTCTTTGTTATAAAGATAATCACTTGCTTTTGGGCATGTGATTAGTAAGGGGTATTGCAGCATACCTGTGTGCAAAAACTGTTTATTTCTATGGAGTAAATTTTTCTGTGTCCTTTGACAGGCGTGGCAAGTTTCCTTTGCTGTTCAGTGTATATGGTGCCACCCAATGGGTGTAGCAAACGAGCTATAATGTACGTTACACTGACTTGTTTGTTCTTTTGTTTACTGCCTTGTTTGTTCGTCAAAAGAGCAGCAAAAATAAACTCAAGGAGGTAATGTCCTAAAATAGTCGTGATCGTTTCAACAGAATGAATTATATATCTTGGCCCACGAAACTCCTGGTTAGGCAACTTCCTAACTTCCCTAACGTTAAGGGGCATTCATTGAACACTTCTATTCATCATGTTTTGAAAGGTGTTCCCACTCACTAGCAAACTAACTTATTGTTTCTTTGACTTTGAACTGAAACCCTTGGTACCTTTCTGTATGAAAGTTTGTTGTATATCCCCTTTTGTGAAAATGGTTCAGCCTAGAAGTTTCCACCAATAGTACTATCTACCTGCCTCATTTGGAACTAGTCTTTTGTTACTCCAGATGCCTTTATGTAATAGTCCTTGCAGCCAGCAGTCTTCTGGTAGTCAGTAGCTTTTCGGAAACCTGGTGGTTTTTTTTTGTGTTTTTTTGGTTTTTGTCTCTAGCAGCAGCATTGATAAAAGCCATGGTTGTGTAAATTAAGGGTGATAACATTGAGTAGAATTACAATTCAGGTGATGTACAAAGCTGCTAAGGAGCTGTTTTGCCAGCTGGACGGTAAAATGTGTTGTGGTGTTGGATGAATCGAGGTAGGGTAAACCAGATCAGATCTCGATAGAAGACAGACGTGTGTGTTGGCTGTATGATCGCATGAATTTCAGCCACCAGGCGCAGCAAGCTACAGCGGGCTTTTGTTATCAGCGATCTCTCGAAAGACTGCACTTCAAAATAAGTGCTTGATTTATCAAGATTTTTTGTGAGCATTTTGGCTCTGTAAAACACACCAAAGAAAGAAATTCAGCAGTTCTGTCAACCAAACAACCGTAAGTGTCATATTTTGAACTTTTCTGATGTTTTAAGAGTCTGAAACAATGAATTTACGGGCTTAACAAAAGTGAAGTGATTTAAGAAGTTGTCAGTATTAATGTTTCAGAAGGTTAAACTGTGGATTGTCGATTATTGGACTATACATGTACATCGACATTTGAATTTAGTGAATTTGCCAGCAAGAAATAGTTATTAAGAGGAGCTATAAAGAGGAGCTATTAAACATAAAGTGTTCCTTTGATTACTACCAAACAGTTGACCAAAATTTGTGGAATATAGTTAAATGTTTTTAATTATCAGATGGCTTGCAGTTGAAGGACCAAACCCGAGATACAGATATTTACTTGGGCAAAGCTAACCAAAGAGACAGTACAACACCCGAAGGCTGAGGTGTTTCCAAGGATCGTGCCAGGTTTTAACCAGTTGCGGTCCCTGTGGTTGCACTACACCAAATACGCGCCCATAGCAAACAATGCAAAATCGGACTGAAATAACGCTGCCCGTTGACTCTCGTGAAGGGGTTGGCCTCCGGTTTTTTTCAATGGAAATTCAAGATTTTGGCCAGGAGATCACTTTTCGTTTCAATTTCATGGGGGTTAGCCAAGAAAAAAAATGTATTCGCCTTTGAACGAAGAAACCCCCAAATTAGCAATAAAACTAAGCGTTCATTTCTGAATGTAGCCACCCGCCTCTATCCAAAATAGGTCGGCAATTTCGGGGTTTTTGTGAAAGAAATACCTCGAACTGGAAACTATCAGCTCTAAATTCGAGATTTATAGAAATATTTCAATGATGCCTCCTGATTATGGCCTTGTTTATTGGAAAAAAAAAACCCAAAAAAAAAAGAACAAACAAAAACAAAAAAAAGTGGGATCACAAAATATTAATGGGCTCGCGCGCAGAAATACAACCATTTGGTGGAAAGCACCCCTATATCCTTATCGCACCTAGATCCCTTACTACAGAGAACTAGAAAAAAATATAGAACTTAAAATTGTTATAAAGAGATCTCTATATTAATCTTGTACGGAGTTAGCTTTAGAATTGCCTGCAGGTGACATAAATAAGAAAGTGAAGACTTATGTATGCTTTTATGGGCCGAAAATTACCCACTGACGGGATAGTGTAAATACTTGTAAATTTATGTAAAGACATGCAGACTTTTGAGAACTACAAGTAAGTAGAAAGTCTCTGGTGTTTCCTTTCGTTGTTGGGTTGTAAATATATTTAGTTGCAGACAGAAGGGACACACAGTTTGGGAAATATCCAACAGTCTGCTCCTTTTTACGTGTCTGCTCTTAGTTTTGTCTCCCGATTTTCGACTACGGACGACAGCCAGACATCCTGTGTACATGGTGCAAATCCCCTGCCAATTTACTGATCCCAATGAGTTTTTCTTAACGTTAGACAAACATTTAAAATGCACTTATTACCTTAAAACCATTTGTTGCGTTGCTGCTGTTTGAAATTAAGCAAATGATATTTCAACCCACATATGTTGTACCGTTAACAGTAAGCCATGCTGCTTGTCTCCTGTGTAAACTGACTTCTTGTCTTGCCCTGGGATGATTTTTTTTGTTTGCTTGATTGTATTTTTCAACCTGGGGAACTGACACATTTCCTTGCTACAGTTAACAACTAAAAGTGATTTTAGAGAAGCGAGTCTTGTGATGGATTTTTGAGATCCACTTGATTTGCATGATTTTTTTTTACCTAGGAATACTTACAGCAGTATTTGTAATTTTGTTTTGCACTCTCCTAGATCGGAATCAACGTCCACCACCAAGAGGCAAGTAACAAATTCAAGGTAAACTACAACTTAGCCCTGTTTAGCGTAGGTGTTTCTATCCAGCTGAAATAAATCATCGCCTAGAGTAACTCCCCCGGCAGCATTTTTTGCATTCAGATCATTGTTCACTCAACCAGTAGGAACATGTTAATGGAGACCCCAGTGGGAAAACATTGCAAATTTAGAAATGTTCCTCATTTCTCCTGGATACTAATTGTTTCGATTTTTATCAACCATTGTCTGGTGTGATAACAAGGTACTTTACTTCCAGAAATGGCTATATAGATTTGTCAAGTACGTCTCTTGAACTAATAGAGATAAGAGGTTCATGATTATGGATTAGACAGATCTAGAATGGGACAGCGTTTTTGTTTTAAATTAAGCCTAATTCGTTTGATATTAAGTCCCGAGTTATGGCAGAAGGTCAGATAGGATTTAAATTACAACTGAGGTCTATGACAACAGGTTCATTGTCAAAATACACTCTATCCTGCACGTAAGATCTTTTCAAGACAAACTTTTGACAAATCTTGAAAAATATGTGTTGCATTAAAAAAATTTAAAACGTGAAGAAAAACCTTTACTCAGTGAAGAGCCTATAAATGTAGTCATTTATGTAGCAAGTAATCCATTTTTGTTCTCTTTTTAGGAACTACGGGAGAAGATTTTGAAATGGAACGTTTTCAAGACAACGCCGGAAAGCCAATTTCCTAATTTTAGAAGCAGTGTTTATTTAAAAAAAAACGAAATTAGAATTCGGTAGCAGTGCTCCTGTCGACTACAGCGACGACGATAAATATTTTACAACAGCCGAATAAATCCTTGTCATTCGATCGGTGAATCACGAATGATACACTGAACACAAGGCGTGGTTGACTTTAACAGTCAGCCTTATTTGAAGCTTGGGACACTCAGTAGGACGGCACTACTTGGAGTGGGTAGATTTGTATTAATCACCAAACACTTTGACCAAGTAGCGCCCTTCTACAGTGTACATCATACATCAAATAGACTAAAGGAATTCACAGGGTTATTATTTGACAAACGTTCAATCCACCCATCTAGCGACCATCAGGGGCCTAAACCCTGTAAAGTGGAGTATGCCCAACTTTTTGATGGGGTTGGACTATTGGATTATTCTCCCCACAATGGTTTCATATGGTATTTGGACCCCTCCCACACACACACTTTTCGAACGTCCAAAGCCGGACAATGTTTAATTTAAGAATGTTATCTCTACCCATCCCGCAGTCAGACGCAGCTTTGACCAACTGACATCCCCAGTATCCGATTCTGCGCGGGCCTTCTCACAAAACAGACCATGCAGGGATTTATTCAGTGCTGTTGTATTTAGGTTTCATTCAGGTAAAACGGTGGGGGATTTTTTTTTCTATCATAGAGTTTAGCCTTTGAATTTTGCAAATATGGAATGCTTCAGAGTCGTTCATAATTGGTGAAGCTAATTTATATCTCTTGGAACCCCAATCTGTTAACTCATGAATTGATTCTTACCGCTTCATTTATCAATATCCGCTAATTTTATCCTTTAATTAAAGTTTGAATAGTTACATGCTTTTATTTCTCATATTGCAACAAAAAGAAACAAACAGGAGATACAAAACCAAGCTAGAGAAATACCTTTCCACACTGTTTACAATTAGAAGTATCTAACAAATACGGATGCTCTTTCGGATGGTAAGACAATCTGATATCCGAGACTTCGGTTTTCAATTTAATACTCGCATATACACACACACAAAAGGAATTGTTTTTCTGAGCAAAGGTTTTCCCATGCTGAGGCGCACTGAATTCTAATTGTTTAAAACCGTGGGATATATTTGGTTTTGGTATTTGGTTTTATGTAAGTGTAATTTTGGTAAGAGGGGACTATAGCTGAGTCGCTTTTCACCCTAATCTAAAACAGTAGTAAAAGAGTCATTATCAGTCAAATCACAAGCAGGAAACTATAAACAAAATGATGAACAATCGAACGGCTTTATAATTTTTCGATTGGTTGGTTGTTTTAACTTTTAACGTAAGAAGAAAACAGCAAGTAAAAATTGACATAACGTAACTTATTACGTGACAATTATTGTTGAAAGAGCAGAATATACAGCAATACATCCTGAAATTTCTGCGTATCCCTGCGTATTTATTTATGTTTATTTGTTTGTTAGTGGTTACTGAATAAACATACATTATATTTTGTCAACCTGTCAATCACTACAGTGGTAGTATTGAAAACGTACCGTAAACACATCAACAATTTATGCATGGAGGGATGGGTTTTTAAGCAATAACAGATAGATTGTATCATGCTGTGCAATAGTACAATTTGATCACGAGAAGAGACGTTTGCCTGGTATAGAATTAATCCCTAAATTTAGCTCTTCTACCATGAGGTCTATCCGATCTATCTAGTTACCATTGTCAGTCCGAGTAAAGCTCACTTTACTTTTGTTTTCATTTTTTAAATTCCTTTATCAGATCAATGTACTGCAAAAAGGTGACAGACAATTCCAACTGCCCTGAAAATACATATACCCTTGCCTGTTTTGACTTCATATACCTCAAAACAGTTGTTTATTTTCATTTTTACCTAAGTCTGGAATTACTGTTGTGCTCGCACGTTAGCAAAATGAGGTAAGGAAAATGATTGGAAATCAAATGTCGAAACGCCCCACTCTTAACGAATCCCCTCACACTGAATTCCCGGATGTCGATATAATGCCTGAACATCTACGACTGTTTTGTGGTAGCTAATACATGTCTCAAGTCCCCTATCTCATTTCATTATGCCGCCGTGGAAGTGAAGTAATACCATTCACAGCCCAAAGAGCCGTGACCTGTCAGCACATGTATGTAAATAATGAGCTCCTGTTACTGATAGCGACCATATGGGCCCCTAGGGGTTACTGATCATTCAATACTCCTTACTCTGCGAAAAAGTTTCGCTAAAATAGTTGGGAAAACTGTGGAAACAAAATCATTCTGTTCATTTCCAGAAACTGACGGTACATGCTGACCACTAGGCAACACCTGTAAAAACAAAATCTGTAAATAGTGCACATAAATTCTACACGAGAACCGTAACTGACTAGTACATTAGTTGGAACAGATGAAAACGTGAAGATGCGAAACCATTGTAAGTTTTACAGCCGTTGCTGTGCATCGGCTGATGTAAGTAAATAATGTTATGTTGTATGTGCTTCAAGACACAACTTTTTTCTTGGCCGAATTCATCATCTTTGCAAACGGATTAGCGACAGTTTCATTCAAATTAGCACGAAATAGATTGACGGTCTAGATCACCATTCAAAGAACAAAACTGATCATTCAGTTTTATTCTAAGAGCATACGATTGCGCAGTCTTGTTATTCAAACAGTGAATGGTGAGCATGCAATTTGTAGAGAAATGTAACATTTGCATTCACATTCTCGTGAACACTCGCGCAGTATGAATGTCGGCGTTCAATTTGAATTCGTGAGTCGACTAGCATTTGTGAGATTTGTGCAATGCTATTAAAGTTTTAATGTTCTATTTTCTGTTTTTGTGACTAGTTTAAACTGCAAGCAGCCTCGCCCACAAAATAACACCAAGTATCCACTTAGATAAAAATATATCCAGGTAATTTCCTGGTCATGTTTGTAGCTCAGTGCACTTATGAATCTGTACGGCTGTTTTATAGTTGATAATACAACCACGGGCTCCTCTCTCTATCTACAACATTTTTTTGTTGTGAAAGTACAATATACCAGTCAAAACCAAAAAAGTTGTGACCTGTCAGTACATATCTGTCAACAAAGAGATCAACTTACTGTAGGAGGCCATATGGGGCGCGTTGGATGTACTGGTATTTGAACAGGCTTTACTCTACAGTCGTTAGAGCTAGGTTAAAGGGACTTGGCAGTCTTTAAGCACATTAGTAGCTGGATGATTACAAAGCTTTTGAACCTAATTCAACAACAAAAAATAAATAAATTAAAAAAACGAAAAGTGGGAAACTGTTTTTATCCATGCTGTTTACGTGAGGGTTCTATGCGAAATATTTCATGAAAGGCAACGTTTGGTTCACGGTTAGAGAGATCTCTATAAAAAAAAACCAACGATTGATCAATGTTTAATTCTGAGTTACATTTTTTTCTGTTTGAATTTTTCCAAAACGAATGAATAACAGGGAGGTAAAATTACACAAATGGACAAAGCGGGAAATGTCTAAAAGGGATGAGAAAAATAGAAGGAAACATGACAGCAAAACATTACTTAAAATGTGACAAAAAGAAAATAAGCCATTGTTTAAGAGAATCCGAAAAAAATCTTATTATAATATTAGTGCACATCTACGGAGAGAGGGTGTTTCGTGTGTATAAAATAAAGTAATTACAAACAGTGCTGTAGTCGAGACCATCACAAACCAGACACAAGACCATGCCCAACACAAGTCACAAGTAACATGGTGAACAAGAATAAAGGAATGCTTTTGTTGCAATTCGTTTGAATAGCCTGTGGCTTGAATTAAGACTAGAGGTCTTGTTGCTTTTGCGCTAGTCTAGTTCGGTCTTATGAAGGTCTCGAATACAACACTGATTACAAATAAGTAAACTGTATCTCAAGGACTTTTCTTTAAGACTCTGTGATAAAAGTCCAGGGAGAGTTCACTTTCTTGTCTACACTTTTGAAAACGAGCATTCAGTATTGGAGTAAAAACAATGTATTCTTGATATGTAATTTGTTTGAGATTTATAGTAATCTGCATTTAAATCAATACATGGGACACACTTTTAGCGTGTTCTATATTTGTAATCTCCCTTTCTGTTCTATACCGTTACTCATCTTAATTTGCCGTAAATTTCTCATACCTTGAAGTTTTCCAATGTGAAGGCTCAAAATGCCAACATGATTACCCATACCCGAAAACAAAAGTAAAATTCAGGAGGAATTTCTATTTCCAGTCACCAAGCACAAGCTCGAATGATGGTTATGCACTGTTCAATTGCATGAAATGAGGTCTAAATTGAATTTGTTGCAGTATACTATATGACGAGTGTAAACGAAGGTGAAAGCTTTACCGTTGGAAAAGAAACATGGGAGCAACCACCTGAAAAAGAAAAGGTTGGAAGAGGAAGGAACAATACTGAATTTGACTGTGAAGATGGCGAATTAGGCCGGGAAAACCTATACAATCAGACGGTGTGTATGTCGCACGAAAGGCACAGTCACACTGACTAATTAGGGAAGATTGACCTTTGTCTGCAAACAGTGCAAATTCGGCTGTTAGTACTGATTTAACTGAATGCTGTCTCATGAACTAATTCATAAAAGTTGGGAGATTGGCAGATTTCTTACTTGCCAGGAAATGATTTCCGCTTACCTCAAAGTAACCTTTCACCTTACTCTGCAAAGACACCACAGGGCTCTTATGCCATATTTAATGACCACATGCCGATTAATTCGAAAAAAAGAGGCGTAGGAAAACAAGCATTCCGCGTACTGCGTTAGCTATATCTCACGGGGTATATTTCAGTGAATAAAATCCTTTGCCACTAAAGCGCCATCCCACTGATTTACATCGGTTGTCGAAAAAATGTGAGCTCTCCATATGTTTAATTGTGCAAAATCCAAATCTCTCCTACACAAGTGCCTGAAATACCGTATCCAGATGACAAAAATGGGCATTTAACCGTCGAGAAGCATGGATTCAACATGTAGCTTTTCTATCAGTAGCATTATGGCAGGAGGCTCCACATAACCAGTGTGTTTTAAAATTCCCAGAGAAATTTTGGGTTGTACATTCCTTGACTACCTTTGATTGCAATCTTAAATTGGGAGGTGATCAGAAATATGGAGATGTTTAAAGCTTCATATCCTGATCGAGCTAGAACTAAATTGCCTGAACTGATTGAAAAAGCGATTGTCTATTTGAATGACTTCTATGAGCACACAAAATACTCTTATTTTATAAGCACCCCCACTTCAAAGCCAGAAATGTCAGCCCAAAATTGATGACTCACTCGTCAGTTTGACCTGTTTTTATTCCATGCCACTATTCAGGGGACCAGCTTTCATTATTTTGAAAATATTGACAAGTATGGATGAGCCGTTAGATCTGTAATAGTCACCAAACGCAAATACGGGTAGGACCCTTAGAAATAAAGAGAAACAAAGCCGCGGTTTATTTCAGTAGGAATTGGGGTAGTGTTACTTTGTTAATTCAGTGCTCTGCAAATAAAATATTTTCTGGTGAGCCTTGGGGGAATTCAAGATTTTTGCCTCGCAAAGTGTTGGCTGATCGCCAGCTGACGCAGCAGTCTTTTTTTCCCCTAATACAAGCTAATGTAAAATTACCAATAATATTTACAACGCAAAACATATTTACCACAAACAAGCAGAAGGTTACCATTGGATGCCTTTTTCATTGGAGCTTCCCGTTTACACAGCGAGGCGATACAAGTTTATGCCTTTGGTGATTATTTATTGTTCAACTACTATAATCCAACAGTGTGTGTTTGAGATGCCAAAGCGTCAGGATGTCCGGATCGTTGCCACAAAACTATTGACAAAGTCGCCAGCTAACGCACCATATGTTTTCAGACAAAGCTGATTTGAATTTGCAATTAACCAAATAAAAGATGTTTAAATTAAAGTTTTATTCGTCATCTGCCAAAACACTAACCAAAGACATGTGGGTGGAATATTTTATTTCACTTGATAAGGGTATCGGGTGGTTTTTAGGTTGTCAATAATGAACGCTCAAAATAGAGAGAATATCAGTTAAAAAGGGGGCTTATCTATCGATGCATACTATCGACCCCTGTCTTAGGACTACGCAAGATTCTTTTCAAATGTCTGCAATTTTCGGTTCAGTGAATCAGTAGGAATAGGGAATACTTAGGTCAAAGCATATTACGTGAGTAGAAGCTTCAAATAATCAATCCCTGAAGATTACACAGTCACATATTATCCATTGGTAATCATTCTATCCACATTAGTAATCACTCTATCCATTGGTAATCATTTTATCCATTGGTAATCAATCTATCCATTGGTAATCATTCTATCCATTGGTAATCATTCTATCCATTGGTAATCATTCTTTGAGGATCTCCTGCCACCCTTGTACCTACACTGAA